AATAATGACTCTTTACTGAAATAGTTCATGTACTGGCATCCAATAATTTAAAAATTGCTATTTGCAAATAGTCCTGAACTGATTTGATCTGTTATTTCTAACTTCATGGTTCACCCTGTTCTGTTTTCCAGTTGAGCTATCGGCTGCTTAACAGGAATGTTTTATTTGTGTTAATTTAGAAAGTGTGATGTCCAGTGCCAGCTGTCCCATGCCAGCACAGCGTGTACTGTCTTTTAAGCCAAACAGACACAGCTTAATGGCTAACATGTTGAACACTGGTATTGTCATGAAAGTTTTCCATTAATGCCTCTGCAGGTAGTGTGGCAGCAAATGGAAAGCCAAGCTTAAGGAAAAAACAATGGCATCTTTGGGGTCTTAAAAATTAAAAGTAAAAAATGTAAATAAGGGAGAGGACAACACTTCTGTATTGGTAGCTACCCTTGTGCCAACACATACTTAGCAGGAAGTTTTAGGTGGCTGTTGGTCTAACACAAGGGGGCCATAACCCACCCCACCCCCCAGTGTTTTCCTCCCATTTCTAACTTCATTGCATTTCTTTTTCTGGGGACTCACATCATTTTCTCTTCCACCTTCTCTCTTTCCATCCCACTGCATGTGTCTTTCCTTGGTCTGACCTCAGAGAGGAGGACGAGTATGAAGAGGAGGAAGAAGAACAGCCAGTCACAGAGCCCAATACTGAGGATGAGGGGGAGGAAGAGGCCAGTAGGCAGGTCAAAGCAAGGTACCGGGATTCAGCATCGTTCCTCCACCTTTTCCTCAGCCTCTGGCGTGAACTCACCCAGCACAGTGTGCAGCAGTATCTACATTTTACTCGCATTCCTAGACCACCTGTTAAAGCCACCCCCCAAGGAAATAATTTTTCATTTAAAAGCTTTATTGGTGTGTGTGTGTGTGTTCATAGAAACATTTAATCATATAGGCTTAATGCACTAAGAACTGTCTGCGCTCACTGCCTTTGTACAGAATGAGTAACACTCACAAATCTTAAAAGATTTAGCAGAAAGCCTAACTTATAAGCATGGCTTAGGTTTATCTTTTTAGTTTAGGCAATGGTGAAATGTTGCAGGGCTTCTCTGAGTTAGGACACTGCTTGGTGTCTTAGGTTTTCATCCCTATTTTCATGATGCAACCTTGGAGCAATATCCGTCACTATGAAGAAGATCAACATTTTTTCAATGCAGTCTATGATTTCTATCAATTTTCTTCGTGTTTTAATAGGAAAGAACTACTTAGAAGCAAAGCTGATACATATATATCATTTTATACATACTTGCCCATCTGTGTATATGAGGATATAAACAAACCACCTATCAAAACAAAATTCTCTTGTAAAATTTTCCACTTATTTCTGAGGCATATATGTATTTGGCATCTGGCAACTTTATCCTAGTAAATTGGAAGAAAGAAAATATGTTCTTTCTTCCAGACAGCCATTTGATTTAGGTTAAATTGTTTGGCTTTGCAACTCAGCAAATGAGATTGGATTTTTTTTTAAAATAAACCACATTCATGCAGACGCTATACAGCATGGAAGGAAGAAAGGAAACTGTTTAATGTGCAAATTCCAAAGAAAATACTGTACTGTTGTCATTAATATCTTCCAGTCTGCAAATCCTGCCAATGGCTGCCTGAAATTTCAAAATTAAGTGATAATTTCCTCAAATCCAATTCTTAAAGCTAAGACATAAGTTATTAGTAAATTGCATGAATATATTAAAATACTGTTAAAAAAAGAGGAAGAGCAGTGTAAAGGGCATGAAGTGCCTTTAGGTCATCAGTCTTTAAAAATAATAGTCACTGTAAGATGACTGGGTGATATTTCCACGACTTTTCTAAACATCTCCTTTCACTGTCACTGTAGCATGCCAAAAGCGATCCGTACCCAGCCGTTTGTGTTAGATGCTGTCAGGAAGGGTAGGACTAGCTTGGCTTCAGTCACTCCTGTCATGCACGGCGGGTGCAATAGAGGAGGATTTCCAGATCGCCCACTGTTTTTCTGTTGTGAGAACGATTACCTGGTATATACCTAATGATTGACTTCATAATATCCTAGCATATATAACCTGTGTTATGTTTTTGTCGCATACTCTGTGCCAAACCCACACTCCTCAAATAAGGGCCATGCTTTGCATGCCTGTAGGTGGATTGGAGAGGTGGTCTCAGGAGAATGAAATCTGCCACCTGCCGAGTGATCCGGCGCAAAGCCCAGGCACAGTGTTTATGCCGGAGATACCAGTGAAAACAGGTATCCCGGAGTGCAGATCCCATGGCTTTTCACCTGCCTTGCTGCTTCTGTCACTAACCAACACCTGCCTTCACTAGAGCAAAGCAGATGTGTTTTCTGTTGCACTTGATGCAACTCTGAAAGTCTCTATCTAACATCAGCCTGGGATGCTGACACTCAGAGAACTTAGTGCCTTCATACCTGGAGAAATTACAGGGTAAGGCGTTGCTTTTGAAATCATTCTAAACTCTAAGTTTGACAGAACAGTGCTGATTGAGTATTTTTAATTTTCATCTTTGGTGGATGAGTGCTTATAGTAAAAAGATCACCAGGGAGGATGAAAATCAGATATCTGGCCTTCAAGAGGCAGTCATGTAGATGGTATCTTGAAGCATCTGTATTCTGTGGGCCACGTTATTGAGCGTGTTGAGACTGCTTTGTACTGCTCTGACAGTGCTTACAACCTAACTTGAAATATTTGAAAATTGTTCAGAAAAGGGTTGTGAAAAGGTTGATGAAAATCGGTTCTGAAGCCTGTGGGTTAAATCCCTTGCTTTCCTTTAAGCTGAGTCGCTTCCATTCCTCAGTATTTCCAACCCCAAGAAGAATCCCACTGGGATACAAAGATGTGAGTTCTCTTAATTTATTTAAAAAGAGATAATGATTGTCTAAATTTGGGAAGTTTTTGTTTGTCTTTGACTTGATTTTTTTTCCTCCAAGAGGTACTGTCTATTGATCTCTCTTTTCCCCATTTTTCTCTCCTTCCCTTCCCTTCCTTTCCCTTCCCTTTCTCATGATGTTGTCCTCCTGCAGTGGGGTCCCAGGTGCACGGGAGGCTGTGAATGAAAACCTTTCATGGTGTTCTGATTCTTCAGCTGTCTCCAGTGCCATTTCTCCAGCTGAGAGGCCTCTCTCCTGCCCTAGAGCAAAGAGCTCTTCTAGCAGCTCCTCTTCTGTGCCTGACTCATCTGTCTCTCGTCATAATTCTGTCCTTTCACCACCATCTTCACCTGCAGCAGCATTGCTGAGCTCTTCCCAAAATTCATCTGCATCCATTACTCCAAAAGCATCTCCAACAGTGGAGAAATTACCTTATGTACCACATACTCCTTTTCACCTCTTCTCGTACGACTTTGAAGAGTCTCCAGCATCTGTCAAAGAAAAGGAAGCAGAGGTGATGAGGGAAAACAGGTAGATTTTATACAGCTGACATTAATTTTTAGATAAATGAATAACACCTTTCAAGAGTTTTATAGTGGTAATAATGCAGTCTGTGTTGTATTATTTCCAGAACATACTGTGTTAGTTTTAGTCCTGTAAGCCTGTATTTTTATTTGATTGATATTCTCCCCTTACCTTTGTTGCCTTCATTTCATCTTACTCCTCTTCAAGGTCTATAGTTACTAAGTATCCTGGCCTCCTCTATACGGCAGTAGATACACAACCTGTGATTTGGAAGATCACAGAAAGGAGCAGGATTTTGCTCTCATTTACGACAATGTAATTTGCAGACATGATTTCATGAAAATTAATGGATTCTGCTCTAAAACCAAGAGCAATCAGATCAGCACTTGAATTTGGGGGTGAAATCCTGGCTTTAAAGACTGAACTGCCAAATCCCAAATTTGCTGTTAGTTTACAGTGCATATCCCTGTCAAGTGCAATTTCAACTCGTGCTTGCAATAACAGAGGTAGATTAAACCTTATAAAGAGAATATAGCACTCAGACAGTTTTCCCTCCACAACATCTGGTCAGTTCAGTTGTTCCTCATGGATTTCTCTTAGATTTTAATTTTAATTTCCTCATCCCACCCATTTAAAAACAAAAAGAAATGGGTTTGTCTCAATCTGTTTTCAAGTAAAACAGATTGACAATAGGTAGCATTAAAAGCAATGCTAGAGAATCACCTTGAAAAGAAGTTGATGATTTTTAGCTGTCTCTCACAATGGTCAGTGTTCTTCAAATTAGATGCTGAAAATGTACACATATATTGTGAGCATATTTCTTCCTTCCTTTCTCCAGCAGTCCTTCTGAATTTCTGCATGTGAACAAATATTTTGATTCCTTTGATCCTTTTAATTTTCGATCTTTCTCTTCTAATAGGTGGGTGGTTTTTGTTGCTTTTTCATTTTACTGAAAATCCTGTAAATCCAAGTAGCTGTTGAAAAGGAGCTTAGTTCACATCTCTTTCCTTACCTGCAGCTTGCACACTGGGGTTCCTCTAAATTCACATGTTCCTGCATAGGTGCAATTTTCCCTTAGGCTTCTCGCACTCATTATTGCTCACTCATTGCTGGTGCTGTTAGAGTTATGCTTTTTAGAGAGTAGATTCCTAAATACTTCCTGTTCCTGCAACATTTCGTATTTCTGCAGTGATGTTTTTTCCTCTGACCATCCTTGCGCTTCTAGTTACCACACAGGATCAAGTGGTGTGGGGGAGGAATGTGCTGGGTTTATTTGCAGGAGAAGGAGGGCAAAGCTCGAACGATTTGTGTAGTAATGTGTTCATAAAAGAGGTAGATGTCTGGATATCTGGGGTTTCTTCAGAGGGAAGGCTTCTGGAACAAGGCCATTGCATCTGCGTTGGTATACGAGACAAGGGAAAATGGAAGTAATAGCCACTACCAGAGGAAGGTTAGAAAGATAAACATTGTGTACAGGGTACAGACTTACCCTGGTGTGCTGCTTTTGCCATGCTACTCTTCCAGTATCACTGTCTCCCTCTAAATTTGATATATAGGGATATAGGAAGCTGTGTCCAGGCCAGTCCCTCTGACTGATTTTGTTAGTATTTGTAGGTCTGAGTCCATAGAAGGTGTGTTTTCTCCATTTTAATGAGAGTTATCTTTGGCCTAATTGAAATTCCTTGGCCTGAAGAAGGATACTGTGCTGTGTCTGCTTTCTCATGGGGCAGAGGAGAAGAACAGCAAATGTAGTGCTTGCTAAGAAGGTCTCCTTTCAGTTGATTGAAGTGGAAATGGAGGTTTCTGTTAGCATCAAGAGCATACCGAAGGAGCTCTGAGTTGTTCTCAGGACAACGGAGTTTCCTCATCTCTCACTCAGTATGGGCACAGGCAGAACGTCTTCTGAGCTGAGCCTGCTGGAGAGAAGACCCACGTCAGGTCTGTGCTACCAGAGAAGTCCTGCACTGCCCAGCTACACAGCCCTCCACTGGGCCACTGTCTCCAGTTTGTAGTTAGTTTTCTTCTATGGCAGGGATGCCAGGAAGGCAATTATTTCCCATTCAGCTAAATTCCTTTTGTAACTCAGAAAAGTGCATGTGAGCATTTTTTTCCCAAAATTATTCCCCTGTTCCTGGGCAGTCAGCATGGTGTCTCAAAAATAGATGGTGGTGGCGGGGTGTTTTCTGAACATAAACCTGGAATTGTTGCCAAAGGGGGCATGTTCTCTAAAGCATGATCCCTTCCATTATAAAAACCCCTAACTGAAACCTCTTCTGATTTTAAGACGGGTCTTGGCAGGCAGCAGTGCTGTTGTAGCTTAAGGAATGAAGCTTGAAACTTTGAATGAAATTTTGCATGGCTAAATGAGTGTGCTAAATGGAGCTGAAGGAAACCAACCAGCCTTTTCAAATAAAATTGCTGAGTGAAATTACTGAGTGCTGATGCGTGGGGGAGAAGCAGCAGCAGATAAAAGATATAGTGAAGGAGGATATATTATATCTTATGAATGATAATAAGGAAAACAATGTTGCCCTTTTTCCTGAAGTGAATTTTGTCATTTGCATGAGTTGGCCTTGCAGAGTACTCACCTATAGAGCATCATATGCTTTCCATGTGGGAAAATGGTATCGTCTGTGAACAGAACTGTTAACATTTTCCCAAATCAGGAATCTCTCCTTGACATGCTGTTTAAGTATGATGGTTAAAAGGCACAGCAAAACAACACAACTGCCTTTTCTATTCAATATGGGAGCCAGGATGAAAACATTGATACAAGGGGCTCTTGGGAGGTGGCAGTTCCAGGAGTCCTGGAAACAATTTCTCTTTGATCAGCAAGCTCACATTGAAGTCGAGAAGGTTTTGGGTTGTTTTTTTTTAATGGAGGGAATGGCTGGTAGAAATTCCTAATACCATGCTTCTGGAGACATGACTTTTTAACCGTGGTGATGATTTTTTACAGGCATTGTAAGAAATGGCACATAAGCTATGACTTATGTTGGGGGAGGGGAAAGAAAATACCACCTGCTTTAATTGCAAAGAATGTGGATGCTTTTCATTTATAACGCAAACATTCGCAAATCATGGACGTCCATGTTCAGATCATGTCTCAGGAACTCTGCTGTTTTCCGTAATTTCACTAGAAATTAATATTGCTGACTTGGACTAGTTTGGTCCCTTTTCTAATGGATGGATATTGGCTCCCAAACCAGCTAATAAATCTGAGTAATTCAGTGGTAATTTAAATATTGCCACTCCGAGTTGTCACTTGGGAGGACCATTCTAATCTCATTATTTTCCATACCAATAGCTCTCTATTTGAATCAAGTATGTCCATGACATGGTCGATATTAAAATGAGATGATAGGTTATATATTTTGAAGCTTGGATTAGAGCAATACTTTCAGAAGGTGGATGTTTGAGAAGTTCTGGGGTATGGGATCACCGTCACCCCCTAAACAAGAGGATTTACCGTTGTGTGCCTGCTTGCTGATGGATTCTTTGTGTCTCTCCCTTTCTCCTACTTTCCTTCCCATTGCTTCAGGTACAATAGCTACGGCAGCAGCTCTTACTCTTCTCCGCGACCTTACTCTGGTGTGAGCGCCCCGACAACACCCACTTCTCGCTATGGGACAACTCTCTCGCCACCTCAAGAGACCAAATCTGACAGGTTTGTAAATTACTCGGTGTTTTGACAACAGTTCCTTTATACACAGGATGAAGGAGATATCTGTGAGCTGTTCTGAGTGGTTACTGGAAATACCTTGTAGCCAAATCTTCTCTAACGTTGGAAAGAGAACATATAAAAATCTAGACATGTTCATTTCCCACTCATTCTCAAGCCTTTCTCAGACTTGGTGTTAAGGGCTGGATGTATTTCTATCCCATTTCTTCTACTTCCACTTAAATGGATAAAACAGAGTTGTTTTATATGTATGCTGTTCTAAGTATTAAAGGGTGAATTAAGGCACATTTTATTTCTTTCCATTTTTAAAAATAAATTCAGACAGATCTATTTTCACTTCTATCATCTTAAATCAACTATGCTTAAATCAATGTGCTTAGCTCAGAATTTCCTAGGCCATAATTTTGTCCTTCCTTGAAAATGTGTGATATATCTCATTGTATTTCATCAAAGGCAAAAGTTTTCATGCTGCAGGTAAAGGAAACTCATACTAACTTCCCTGTTATCAGCTCACTTTAAAAAAAAAAAAAAAAGGAAAAAAAAACCCCACACCAGCAACACAAGAAAAAAACAATCAAAATACTCTTTTGAATTATGTAAGGTAAGAAAAAAGGTAGGAAAATTTTATAGATACATGAAAGAAATTCTTCTTGGCAAGAAATTTAGACCACCAGAAATGAACTGACTGTTACGACCTGAAAGTAAATGACAGCTTCAAAGGATGTCATGCTGAGTTTAAGGGGGAAATGTAGAAGTTTTTAATTAATTTAGTTAAATAATTTAATATAATAATTTAATTAAATAATTTCCACTTAGGCCAGATGGGCTTTGGATGGTTTGTTGCCAGATTGGCCTCTATTTTGTAAAAAGTCCATCTCACATCCTTTTTTTGAACGGAAGTCTTTTTCAGAATCTTTTGTCTATATTCCAATTAATTTTTATTATATTTTTAAAATATTTGTGTATGCGTATAGAAATATATGTATATATGTTTTATGTGTGTCTGTATGTATGTTTGAACCTACCTAATGCCTCACATCCTTTCCAGTCTACTATTCGGAATGGTTCAAGTTAGGTTTTTCCAGCATGCTTGTATTTCTAGCCATGAGGTATTCATTTAATCCTTTTTTTTCAAGTGAGTAATTACATTAAGTTTATCTTTGGAGAAAGGCATCATCTTTCATTTGCTCATCTGCCGACAGTAACTTGCCTCGATTTGTCTTGCCTAATCTGAATTAAATTATTGCCGAGTGAAACCATAATAAAAAACTCTAAACCAGCATTTTCACCCCTTTTTACCTTAGCAGAATAGATGCAAGGTAAGCAAGAATTAAAGGTATCCCACTGCTTTTGTAGTTTCAGCTTTCTAAGCCCCTGCTGTTGGAAGCTTCTGGTTGCTACTGCAGCAAAGAAACTCTGAAGTGGTCAAAAGCTGAGATGGTTAAAGACAGTTGGGCCTGTCCTGCAAGAGGTTGATCACACTGGCCCTGCTCCAGTACAGGAAGCAATCTGTCATTGCAGCATGCGCGTAAGTGCGTCGCTGGTTTGGAGCCAAAATGCCTTGGCCTCACAGGATGAAGCTGTAAAATTCACAGATTCATGGAGAGTCAGGCCAGAGGGAAGCTCTGTAATCATCTGTTCTGACCTGTAATGGGTCTCACAGAAGCTAAATGAAAGCCCCCGGTACCTTCATGTGTTTGCAAGTGGCAGTGCATGAGTTCTCCTGGAAAACAGTCCAGTACTTATCATCACTGCTAGGAAAATATTTCATATTTTGGAGGCCGGTTTGTCTAGCAGCATCTTCCGGCCATGGCACCTCGTTCTGCTTTTCTCTGTGAAATTGCGAAGTGCTCTGCCTTCAACTATCAGGTCTCTCTTACGTGTTTTAAGTGTCTGAACACAATACTTGGAGTTGCATTTCCTTCAGGTTATGCTTACCGCTTTCCACCTCACATGATAAAAATCTCTCTCCTCTTCTTTAAATTTGCAGCTCGCTATTCATGGTAGTTGAACTCACTAGGATTTCCACATTCCTATATTTGAGGGATGTTACAGCCTGGTGCTTTTAGTATATTAGTCTCTGAGAAGTATGAAAAATGTGTGCGTGCCACAGCTCCATGTTGCCTGCAGAATAGATGCAGTTATTTCTTGAAAGATAATTAAATTTACAGGTTTAGAGGACATTTTGCATCA